TTAAATTGAATATTTTGGTCATGGGGAAGCACTACTATCCTTTGATATTTGGTGTGACCTCAATGTTTAAATTAGTTCTTTCTCTTGGAATTTTCAGAACTAAAGCTGTTTAGCACCTTGTTAGCATTTACCTTGACCTGTTTTGTTTTTGTCTTGTTGAAAGCATGATGCTCCTGTTAAAACCATACATTGGATCAAAGCTCCAAACTACAGCTGCGTGATGACTGGGAGCTGGGATAAGACTTTAAAGGTACAATATGCACCTTCGGTATCATACGGCCCAGTTAAGCTCGGCATCTGTTCTTACGCCATTTGGATGTCGGCTCCAAATGGTCACTTACCAGCTCCTCCTTTTGTTTTATTTTTTTGCCTTTAGTTTTGGGATACTCGGTCATCAAATCCTATGATGGTTTTGCAACTCCCTGAAAGGTGTTACTGTGCTGATGTGGTAAGAAATATCAGCTTAATGTATATTTCCTTTTAAAAAACAAAATAAGCATTTCTCACCCTATGGCACCTTGCAATTAGCGGGTTATCTAAAACTCCCTCTCACTTTAGTAATAGATGTGGGGATGGAGTTCAGATTGCCTCAGTCATCTTAAATTGGGAGACTGTTGTGGTGCATTTATTCCAGAATTAACTAAATACTGAATATCAAGGTTTTTGGTCACTCATTTGAACAAGTGCAGCCAGCTACATACCATCCCTAGTGTTACATTTGTTGTGTGACGGTAGGGAAGCTTGTCGTAACCTTGTGTGATACTAGGTCTTTGGGGACTATCTCTGGGTGGGATAGAAACTGAAGAACTTGCCGGTTCATTTTAGTCATAAGTCTTAAAGTTTTGTACCAACTGCCCCAGTAATTCCACTTTTAGAAATTTATCATGAGAAAAATAATCAAGGATGCAAATGTTCTTTGTCTTATATAATACAGTAAAACATTGGTTCATTTGAGGAACAGTAGACAGCCGGCCACCTCTAGTGTATGACGTGGGTCGATGCTCATGAAATGTTTTGAATAAAGGACAGGAATTACACAGGAGTTCACACACACAGATAAAATGCTCAGGAAAAAGACTGGAATAAAATATACTGTAATATTAGCAGTTATCATTTGGAGGGATAGTACAGGTGATTTTTATTTTTTCTCAGTTCCTGCGATATTTTCTAAATATTCACTTATTCTTATAGTTAGTTTTACAAAACAAGTCTTTTAAAAATATATTAAGGTTCTACTTTCAAATACCATTTCTCTAGGTTTGTGTAACATGTACATATCATTGGATTATTAAAAAAATTTCAGACTTAATTTTATGATTAAAAAATTGATCTAATATGTTGGTATGAAAAAGCACATTCTCTGCTTTCCTCCATTCCCTAGATATACCCTATGGCCGTGGTGGCGACTGCAGAGAGGGGCCTCATTGTCTATCAATTAGAGAATCAACCCTCTGAGTTCAGGAGAATAGAATCTCCATTGAAACATCAGGTGAGTCATAAGTCAACTCAAGAAGCACGTATTTAGGCCGAGCACAGTGGCCACACCTATAATTCTAGCACTTTGGGAGGTCAAGGCCAGGAGTTTTGAGACCAGCCTGAGCAACATAGTGAGACCCATCTCTACAAAAAATTTTTTAAAAATTAGCCTGGGTGTGGTGGTGCATGCCTGTAGTCCCAGGAGGCTGAGGCGGAATGATTGCTTGAGCCCAGGAGTTTGAGGCTGCAGTGAGCTATGATGAAGCCACTGAACTCCAGCCTGGGTGACAGAGCAAGACCCTGTGTCAAAAAGTTAGGAAGTAATGCTTCTTTATTATGTGTGAGTAATATGTTTCTGGTTCTTCTAAAACCGAAAAATCAGGTAACAATGATTTTCCTTCGCGTTAGTCATGAAATCTGGTATTACATCATGATAATGTCCTTTTTTTCTTTTAACTGTAGCATCGATGTGTGGCTATTTTTAAAGACAAACAGAACAAGCCAACTGGTTTTGCCCTGGGAAGTATCGAGGGGAGAGTTGCTATTCACTACATCAACCCCCCAAATCCGTAAGTGGGACTCAATCAGCTTGCAAACTTGCACTTGAGACTTTTTTATAAAGGAAAACTTAGGTGGGCCTCTGTTTTTCAGTGCCAAAGATAACTTCACCTTTAAATGTCATCGATCTAACGGAACCAACACTTCAGCTCCTCAAGACATCTATGCGGTATGTTTTTAGAAACTTTTACCTTGAAAATACATCTAGAAACTTGACTTGGAGGTGGCTGAGTAATTATGGGATCAGAAAAGATTAATCATTGAAGAGCATTGAAGAACCTGTATGTATTCATGTCTGGAGATAAATGGCTTATGCTGTAGGCTTTGGTTTTCTGTTTTTATCAGCATATTGACTGGCTTCATTCTCTTATTTCTGAATGCAAGCTTAAGGTGTTTTGAGAGAGTCTCTGCCTGCTCTGACAGTTTACACACATAGCTAAGACTGAGAAATCGCTGTTTGCTAAAAAAAAAAGGCATTTTCCTGAGATATGCCCCTTGGTGGTACTTGCTTGAATACACACATTAACTTCTGCTGATGTGTGTTCATCACAAGAGACAAGATTTACTTCTGGGCTGGCAGTTGATGCAGGAAGCGTGGCTAGTTTCTCTTACAATCAGTGGGCAGCCAGCTCAAATGAAACGTGTGTGTTCATTTGGTTTCCTAACTCATACAGGAAGTGTGCATTGACGAAACCCGCTTCTCCATCCTCTGCCTTGGCTTCTCATTGTGTATATTAATCCTTGCAGGTAAATGGAATTGCATTCCATCCTGTTCATGGCACCCTTGCAACTGTGGGATCTGATGGTAGATTCAGCTTCTGGGACAAAGATGCCAGAACAAAACTAAAAACTTCGGAACAGTTAGATCAACCGATATCGGCTTGCTGCTTCAATCACAATGGAAACATATTTGCGTATGCTTCCAGCTATGACTGGTCAAAGGTGAGAATTCCCAGGCCTGCTCTGGGTGCCCTAAGGCAGCACAGTCGGGCTCTGGAGTGGGAAAGCATAGGCTTGAGTTGTGATTCTTCTCTGGACTCATATCACTGTCACCTCCCTGTAAGGGAGATAGGGCTTCCTTGATGGGTTGTGGGGATTCATTACAGCCCTTGGTCAGAGTGCGGCACACAGGAAGTGCCCAGTTAGTGTAACCGGTCACAGGCTGCCCTGTCCCTGGGTACAGAAGGATGGGCAAGCTGGAGGGGCTGATGCTTTGGGAGAGTGATTCGTGCAGTTGCAGGGGGGCGGGCACAGGGCCCATCATGCAGCTTTGATTGTTTGGGCCAGGGAGTTAGAAGCTGGCAGGGTCATGGCTGCATTTTTGAGGCCTCTGGGAGCCGACGTAAAACGTGCAGACTCAGGTCCTCCGCCCAGACCCCGCATGAAGTGTATCATCTGCCGACCAGCCTGCAACTTTCCCTGCTTCTCAGCTGTTAGTCCTGGAGAATACGCCTTCATTATGTTTGTGGTTTTCATCTTTCTCTTCCCACATCCCCTCTGCCTTTTGCTTCCTAGACCTTCCTCTACCGCAGGGTCTTTCACACACGTCCACCTTCACTGGCCTCTGCCTCCCTCGCCCAGCCCACATGGTCCCTCACGCACTCCCAGTTTCTTGATGTCGGCCTTTTCTCCCACCGTTTCTATCCCTGTCCCCTAGCTGCTTCCTCTGTGTCTAAGTGCACGGGAAGCTTTGAGAAGCCTGTAGCCCTTCGCTGCTAAGCTTGCTGGGGGAGTGGGTAGCACCTGCCCTCTTCATTCCCTCCCTCCGGCCCCTCTTCAGTCCACTGCTGGGTACTTTCTGGCTTCCAGGAGCCACACTCAGGAGTCTCGGCCACATCCTCCTTGTCCAGTCCAGAGCTTCCCTCCGTCCTGTGTCAGGCGCTGTGGTCCATCCCTTCCTCCTCCACAGAGCTCTCCTCCCTTGGTTTCTCTGCCGTTGTCTTTCCTGGTTTCTTCAGCCGCTGCTTGCCATCCTCCTCTCATCCCTTTGGGCTCTTACCTGCCGGCCTTCTCCTGCCGTCTCAGTCTGAGCTGCTCCTCGGGGTTCTTCCAAGTGTTCATTCCTGAGGCCCCGGCTCTGCCCACAAAAGCCAGTGACTTGCGGTTTCTAACTCAGTTCGTGGCCTCCTCTCCCCCTTCTCTTTCTGTGTTTCCCAATCACAGCAGGATGGCTGCGCCTGGGTATTCCTTGAGGCCCTTCGCTTAAGACAGAGCAATCCAGCTGTTTCCCCACCCTGCCCTCCCCTTGCCCGCCAGCCCTGCTCCAGTATCCCTCTCTTTCCGGGCTTGCTCAGCAGCAGCTTCCTTTTTTTTTAAAAGCAACTTTATTGAGGTACAATGAAATGCAGTAAATTGGACGTGTTTAAAGTGTACAATTTGATCAGTTTTGACATCTGTAAATACCCTTGAAACTGTCACCACAGTCAGGAGTTTAACAGGCCTGTTCATCTCCCCTAGAGGTTTCCGTGTGTGTGCTGTAATCCTTCTCCTGCGTGCACAGAACCATGGATCTGCTTTCTGTCACTATAGATGAGTGTGCTTTTTCTAGAATTTACATAAATGGAGTCATACACTATGTACTCTTTCTTCCCCTGGCTGCTTTTGCTCAGCTGAATGATTTTGAAACTCACCTGTGCTGTGGAGTGTGTCGCTCGTCTGTTCTTTTTGAGTGCCAAGTCGTATTCCGTGGCATGAGGATGCCACCGTTTGCTTAGCCATGCACCTGTGTCAGCCACGCACGCAGTTCTGCAGAGAGTGCGCTGTTTTGGTTCTGCCTGGCTGAGGCTGTGGGGGCTGGGGCCTTGTTCCCTCCGTGGGGCCCTTCGCTGAAGCTCTCACGTGCTCAGCCCAGCAGCTGCGTCCCATGCTGCATTCTAACTCATCACTCTCGGGGCTCCGTGCGTCATGAGCACTAAAAACATAGTAGTGAATTGAAAGACGTAGGAAATCTCACTGCATTGAGTGCTGCTTAGAACGGAAGTAGTCTAATTCCTCTAAGCAATAATGTCAATTTATAGTGGGGGTTACAAAAATTACAGTCTTCATTTAAAGAAAAATTTTGCTTCAGGAATTTTTCATTGTTCTCAGTTCAAGGACAGTTCTCTCTGGTATAAAACTGTGATCACATCTGATTAATATTATTAGCTTGAACATAAGCTGCACTTTGTATGTTGTGAAGGGAATCAGTGGTCACAGTTGAGCACAACAGCCCGAGCCCTCCCGCCGGCTGCGGCTGGAAACGGGGCTCTGCAGCACGGGGCAGAGTGAGCCCAGCGCCGGGCCCCTCTGCCCTCCCGGCCTTTAATCACCCGCCTGCTGGCTCTTGTGGATATTCTGCCTTGTCCCCGCGACTCGCCTTTCTTCCTAAAACTCAGATCTGATCACGCCGCTGACACGCTTCCTTGTCCCTGTGGGTAATGTTCAGAGGCCTCAACCTGCCGTTTTCGGCCCTTTATAGTCTGACCTCATCCCGACACCCGGGGCCCCTCCCACGCTGCCTAGCCCTTCTCGCCCCCCGGCGTGGCACGAGCAGACGTGCTCACTGCCGTGCGTTCCTGTGTCTGTGCCGCTGCTCCTGTGTGGGCAGGTCGTCCCGGGCCCTCATCCCTACGACGTGTCATGGGTCAGATGTCCTCTCCTCCATGAAACCCTCTCAGGTCAGAGCCAGTCCTGACCAAGGGACCCCAGGGCAGTTACCTTAGCATTAAAGGCGCAGGGTGTTAAAAAGGGGGCTCAGTGCCGAAAAGACAAACAAGTGAAGACAGTCCCTCCCAGGACGGTGTTGATGGCAGACTTGCCCCAGGTCCTTAGCCTTCTCTGAGGACTGAAGTTTTTTTGTGCCATTTGACTTTTATTTCTGTCTTTGTTGTTTTGTTTTGCCCCTCCCCCGGCCCCACCCTGAGAGATTTTGCTTCAAGCACGTGGCACAGGACTTGACAGATAAAAAGTGACCAGAGAGCGCTGACTGTCGCTTCTAATAATAAACTCATCGAGGCTTTTTTTTCTTCTTTAGGGACATGAGTTTTATAATCCCCAAAAGAAAAATTACATTTTCCTACGTAATGCAGCAGAAGAGCTAAAACCCAGGAATAAGAAGTAGCAGCCTGAGACTTCGGGGTCGTCCGGAGTCGTTCTCTCTCCACTCTGCCTCGTCTCTGTACGAATTTGATCCCGGCTTTGGGTTGTCAGCCAGGGACATGGATTTCAGTCCCTGGAGAAAACCATGTCATTGTTGAGCAGTCGAGAGCCCCGCCGTCCACGGCGACTTGCCGTCTCTCCATTCCACTGCCTGTTGCAGAGTTTTTCTGTAACTGAGGGGACTGAAATTATTATAGAAGTTAGATTTTTGAGGGCGATGCCAGCTATTTTGCAGTGCTTCATTCAGTAATGTCTGTATTAGAGAATGTTGGAAAACAGTCTGTGAACCCCGTACTGTATTTTGTAATAAAATATTTTGAAGATTGCCTACTGAGCTTCCTTGTCCTTCTCTCCCTCTGCCCCACCCAGTCATCTCAGAAATGGTCATCCTGCCTGGCATCAACGTTGGGTTTTGAATTACGATTTCAGACACCCTTTGGGAAATGCAGAAATCTCTTACCTTAGGAGAAAGGGAATCCTGAGGTTCAATTATTTCTGCCACGTGGAATGTCTTAGCCTCTCCAAGTGTTGGCAGGCAGAGTTTGAACGTGTTCTTCCCTTACTTCCTTCATTTTCTTCTTCAACATCCCCAGCGCTTTCCAGCTCTGCTGTGCAGACTTCCTAGTGACTCTGAAGTGGGGACTGTTCCTTGTGCTGAGTGACAGGCCTTTTGTGGGCCAGTCTTGCAAGACCCAAGTGGGTGACACTTGTGTGTCTTTCAGGGTAGAACCCAGATCCTCTGCATGGGAATTACTCTGAACATGTATTCCCGGCAGTGATCATTTCGGTGTTGCTGTTTTATTTCGTAGTAATTTAAAATTCCTGATTGGTAAGTATTCAAAATGAAATTCAACTTAATGGTCGACTTTTGAGTCTATTGTTACCCTGTGGTCCAAAATGCTTCTTATGCCTTATTGTTTGGGGCTGGCGTGTGGACTCTGACTTGCCGAGCGTGAAATTCTGGTATTCGTGCTGTGAGATGTGTTTGCCTACTCATAAAAAGCAAGGAAAATGAAATTTTCTACTGGAAGAGACTGCCTGTGCTCAGTGGTTTAAATTCTTTGGTAGTTCACAAATGAATTCAGACCAATTAACTCTTTAACCCTGTTTTTTTAGCCTGAAAATCTATTTTTTAGAGGTAAAAAGGCAGGTGCACTAGAAAAATCTGAATTTTCAAGTTAACTGTTTGCAGCTAATTTTTCCCTTCCCTTTATGAATCAGGCATGTGGTTTTATGATCTGTATATACGAGAAGATCTAGCAAGTAGAAAAGACTGCCGTGGGGAGAGATTCGAGTGTAATGGTCTCAGTAGCCGACTTTCATTCAAGGTGGGACCAGACAGCTTCAGCTTAGCTGCAGTTTCATTACTCTTATTACAGGCTGGTGACTGGCCCCGGTTGAAAATGACAAAATAATGAATCTAAAACCATGGGATGGGCCTTTTAGAGTGTTCTTTTCCAGGATCCGGACTTGCTACCTCACCAAGGGGATAGTTTTTGTGATTGGCAAATTTAAAATATTTGCCTAAATCCAAGGGTGGACTTGGGCTGCCAGAAACCAGGAGTCGGGAGCTCTTTGCTGCCACCAGCATGTGCAAGACTCACGTCTCCACCTCCCGGAACCTAAAGCGCAAGCGCACCCTGCGTGGTTGCTGGTGACCAGCCAGTGAACGTTCACTGAGATCGTGGCACTGCTCAAAAAACTGACTGTCGCGCCTCCTAGAACGTATGTGGAGTCTTCGAGAACTCTTCATCCCAAACTTCATCATCCCTGTGCTGTAAGTTGCATGCAGTAGGTGCTGATTAAGTATTGATAAATCTGATGGCATCTCCTAATTCAAAAAGATACCAGTGTAATCTTGACTTTTGGTTTTAATAAATGTCACGTCATATTCTGCCATTAAATATGTACTGAACACCCTGCTAAAAAGAGCCCTGCTCTCATCGAAAGTAGAATATGTAAACCTTATGGGGAAGACAAGCTGTGCTCTTTCACCTAATTTTTCCAACCTTTTATAAAAATGTTCAAACACAAAAAGTTGGAGAAGTTTTTACAACAAACATACACCTACCTACCTTCCCGGATGCCACTGTAAGCGTCAGACTTTTGATTTTTCCGTTCGCTTTTGCTGGGCTTTTCTACTCCTCATTTGTAACGCCACTTCCTTGGCAGCTAATTGTGGACGCAGGCCTGCTGGTGAGGGTGGAGTATACAGTTTTTGGTGCCAAAACGAGGTGTTTCGGATTTGGGGTTGTGTACAGGAAGGGGTACTTCTCCGTTCCTATTATGTTTGGTCTGACCCTGTGTACTTGGGGACAGATAGTGGAAATAGCGTGGAAATGTGATGGCTGCGTGCGACGCCTGTCTGCACGTGCCCACGCGTGTGCACAGGCACCTGCGGGCCTGCCCTCCCCACCCCGTGTTAGTGCTCGCGTCACGCCAGAGGGTCCTTTGGTGAAGGACGATTCGGTGGAAGAAGGGAGGATGTGCAGGTGCCCGGCTCGCTGACGGTGAGCAGTCTGGCCTTCACGAGCAACGACGATGCCACCCAGGGAACAGCGCCACCAGGCACAGCACACTTGCCCACGCACGCCCAGCCACCCCCTCCATATTAGGATTTTTCTTTAAATTGATCCACTTTAAAAACGTAAGACAAATGTGTTGCTACTTAGAGGAAAATTCAGTGTGTGGAAAACTAGTATCTTTTACCTAAAGTAGAAAGTAACCATAAGAATTAATAAAATGAAAATTAAACTATAAACATGGGAAATGAAACAATACTATGGAAATGAAAATGTGCCTCCTAAAGTCATCTTCAAGGGACAGATTCACTGGCAAATTCTGTTGAGATGACATTATGTATCTTAGGTGCTTGTTAGAGCCCATCTGTCATTTTGGAGGTCATTTGGGAAATAATATTTTTTCTCACTCAACCAAAATTTTAGTCTCCTTTGAAGGAAAGGTTCTGTAAGAAGTGAACTAGACACGCTCTTGAACACATAGAAACGTCTAAGGCAGCATTTTCCAAATCAAATCATGCCCCATTCGTAGGTTGTGAAATGAGTGTTGTTGCAACCAGCATTTTTTTAAAAAATGCAGCCACAAAAAAGTACAGAATATATTCGGGTACGTCACAAAGTAACGTGCTTGGAGCTGGACTGCCTGCCTTCATGTTCCAACTCTGTCACCAACTCTGGGCCTCAGTGACCTCATCTGTAAAATCGGAGACATTAAAAGTAGCTGTCACAAGCCAGGGGTGAAATGTGCTCCCGTGGCTGGCCCGTGATAAGTGCTCACATGTCAGCTGCTGCTACTGTGACTTCCGGGGGATGGCGCTGGGGAGAAGTTCCACAGAGCCCTGCTGTCGTGCGCAGCAGGAACAACAGTGTAGACTGAGCGGGCTTGAGAGCTCAGGTGTCCCAGAGCGCTCTGCCGGGGAGGCTGCGTTAGGTCAGGCCAGCAGGTGGCGCCAGTGACCCCGCTGCCTTCCCCAGCAGAGCAGATTGAATTTCCGGGTTGCACCCTGGCCCCTCCTCACCTCGGACGGTCGCCTCCTCAAGTGCCACCTTTGCCATCACTTGCACTCCCTGTGGATCTTTCTGGCCCCAGGGTTGGCCTTTCAAGCAGGTGCAAGAGGCTGTCGTTTGAAGCATGGTGCTCCCTGCTGTCGTCAGCTAGGGCAGGCTTCCCTTCGGTGCTGGGGGCCCGGCACATCCTTTCGGCCTCGAGTCTCCTCATCTGTTGGGACTTCGTGTCACCTGACTCCACCCCTCAGGCTGCATCCGTGGGGCTTTGCTGTAAGGACACCTTGACCAGTTCGGGAGGCCCCAGCGTGATTCTGGTTACCAACTGACAGTTGCCTACAAAAGCAAACTATAGTTCGTTACATACGGGCTGACTTGTGTCCCCCCAAAAAATTCATATGTTGAAGTCCTGACTCCCAGTCCTCATTGTGACTGTATCTTGGAAATAGGGTGTTGAAACAGGTAATTAAGTTAAAGTTAGATCGCTAATCCAATGGGACTGGTATCCTTACGAGAAGAGGACATTTGGACACGGACAAGGACAGAGAAAAGACCACGTGATCCCACGGGGAGAAGACAACCACCTGCACACCAAGGAGAGAGGCCTCGGAAGGGACCAGCTGTGCTGACGCCTTGATCTCGGACTTGCAGCCTCCGGAGCTATGAGAAAATACGTTTCTGTGGTACTTGGTACGGCAGCTCGAGCTGACGCCACGGTATTCCCAGGCGGCCTTTTCCTTTCTGCAGTGTGACCCAGTGAGGCTGCAGGGTCTGCAGAACCAGCCACACCCTGTGGCTGGCTCCCAGAGCAGGCAGTTCCAGGTGGCGGCAGTGCCACGCTGGCAGGGCGAGCTCCCCAGACTGGCGCGGCCCTCACTGCCCCTGCGGGGACGTGCTCGGTCCTTACCCAGCGTCAGCTCCAGCTCGGGGATTAGCCGCGCCTGCACCGTGAAAATGGGGCTTCCCTCCACCTGCTAACCTGTGACGTGCCAAAAAATGAAAAGCAGGTGGCCCTCAGGTGACACTGTGGCGTTCATGCCGCACGTTTTCAAACCAGCAGCGGTTCTCAGCATGGCCGAGGAGGTGCTGGAGCTGTCTGTCTCGCCCGACTTCTTGCGTCTCAGCTCGAGAACCCTTATTCTCTGCGGCACTTCCTTCTCCTGGAGCTTTTCTCATCACCATCTGGACGAAGCCAAAGGATGGAAGTTCACCGAGCCCAGGGGAGGCATCGCCGTGGAGGTGGGCTTCCTCGGCCCCCACACAGCCCGATCCCTCGCCTGTCCGCAGTGCGCACAGGGACCCACCGCCCTCTTCGTGGGAAAGACTCTGGACAGGAGACCGCTGAGGTCATTTCACTATTCACAGGGAGGAGTAGGCTGTCCCGGTTCTTATTCTGCGAAGTCCCAACTCGCCACTGGGACTGTCTCCCTTTCCCTGGGGGATGAGCCAGGGATGAGAGCTCAGCTCTTGACGTGAGCTGCAGTAGCTTCTTGCGGCTGCTGTGACATCACCACACTCTTAGTGGCTGAAAACAACAGGAACGTGTTCTCTTACAGTTCTGGAGGCCAGATGTGCGACATGAGTCTCGGGGACTAAAATCAAGGTGTCGGCAAGGCTGGTTCCTTCTGGAGGCTCGAGGGGAGGAGCCGTCTCTTGCTCCGGCGGGCACCAGCATTCCTCGGCTCGTGGCGCATCACCCCACCCTCCAGCTTCCCTGGTCACGTCTCCCAAAGGGCCCACCTGGGTGACCCGGGCGACTCGTCCGTCTCTAGACCCTTAACCGCATCACATCTGCAAAGTCCC